GGGGGGGCAAGGTCAAAGAGAGGCCTCTGTCTATCCTTGAGGAGCTCTGGGGAAGGGAAGGAAAGAGGCTGGGGGCAGGCACCGTGGTTGCCTCCTGGATGCCTCAACCAGAGGAGGGACTCGCTCTGGCCCCAGCTCGAGGGCCCCAGTTCCAGGGCTCCCCGTCCGCCGGGCCCTCCCCTGGGAGAGGGAAGCACCTTTGAAGCAGTGCAGTTGGCCCTCCCTACCAGCTCCTGAGTTTTCTGGAAGAATCCATGGTTTCTGGGTGGGTGCACGTGCTGTGCGTCAGGGCTAGGGCTTAGACAGAGAAGGATCAGGGAGAAGGAAGGAAGGGGCACCCCTCCACGCCTGCGCAGGCTCCTCCACCCTGGCCTCCCGGGGCTGTGTCAGGACAGGGGTCAGCAACAGGCCTTCGGGGACAAGGACTCTGCCTGTTGGTTCCTGTGACCCTCCTCAGCATCCCCGTCTCCATCCAGTTCTCCGGGTGGAGACCAGTGGAGACCAAAATTCTCCGGAGAACAGATTCCAGGGAGAGACCAGTGGAAAGCAGGGAGGAAAGGAAAAGACACACCATGGAAAATCTTTTCTTCCTTAATCCCACCACTTGTGTCGTTTCCCAGAAGCCGCACTCCGGGCCAAGGACAGACTTGGAGAAGACGTCTGCTAACGGACACTCGGACCTAACTTTTCTTCCCAGGCCGCGACCCAAGCCCCTGACCATGCTGGACGGGAGGCTGCTCTGGAGTCGAGACGATCAGGACGTCACACGCCTCCAGATCTAGTCCCTGCTCCTCTACCTTATGTCACAGAGCTGGGGGTAACTGGCGTCAAGCTCTGCGTTGGGGTTAGAGTCCCGGCCAGGAGGGAGGAGGTATCCAGAGGTTGCTGAGAACCAGGAGGGCCAGGTACCGGGCACAGAGCACCCCTGTGGCTGCCCTAGTTGGGCCCCCGCTCTGGGAGGAGAGGTCGTGCGGGCAGCGGACGGGAGGAGAGGACGTACCATCTTATCGTGGGCCGTGGGGGATGGTGGGTAGTTGTAGGGGAACAGTCCTGCAGGGACTGGCCGCCTGTCTCCCAGGTAATCATACTGGAAGAGAAAGGGGATTGGAGAGGTGAGGGGGTCCGGCTGGCACACGGACTTCCCCACCAACTAACGTTCAAGGTTAGGGATGTTTGTATCCTGTCCCAGAGCAGACTCCAAATTCAAATGGATTTGCAGCATTTATCCATTGTGATAGCCTTGCAGTGACCCGTCCAGTCCTCAAAAGACAGAACCCTCTCTGCCCTCTGACAAGGAATTAGGGTTCCCGGCACAACCTGGGGAAGGGCACCAGTGTTCCTGCTCAGGGGTCAGAGCACATCCCCCAAAGCAGCTCTCCCACAGGCAGAACTGCAGGGCCAGTGGCGTCCTGGGCATCATCGTGGCTCCTGCCAACATACGGTGTGTGTCCCCATGGGGCACAGTGACCCCAAGAGTCCCAGATGCCTGCACACCTGCACATCTTCTCCGCAGATGGTAGTAGGCTCGTGGGGGACCTCAGGGGATGAGGAAGGAGGGGGCGCGCTGCTGGCTCACCTTGGGGGAGCTGACGGATCGCCTCATCACATAGGCAGCGGGGTCAGCATAGATGTCCTCGCTGCGAGGTGGCAGGCGCTCAAAACGGGCACTGGGTGAGCGGACGGGGGAGTAAATGCGGGCGCGGCTGTAGGAGCCCTGGCTGGGCGAGCGGGGCACGGAGTGGGAGCGGGGCTGCAGGGACAGGCGGCGCAGGGAGCCGGATGTGGCATCCAGCTCATCATAATAGACTGGCTGCCGGGAGGGGGAGGGGCCGGGGAGCCAGATGGTGCCATCCTGCCGCCCGTAGCCCGGAGGCTCCTTCCACTCCCGAAGCTGGAAGGCAGGGCCGCCTCCATTGCGGAAGGAGTGACGCTTGTCCTCCAAGGCCCAGGGTGGGCTGATCCGATCATAGGCTGGCATTGAGCAGATGCTGTCGGGCCGCACCCCTGGTGGGTAGTACTGGTAATCATCAGGGTACTGGGAGGAGTAGGGGCCATAATACTCAGGGACCCTGCGGGACACGGGGTAGAACCTAGAGGGACTGAGAGAGAGGACACTGTAAGGAAGCCAGAATGAGCACAACCCCACCCACCCATCTGTGCCCCAGCCCTGCCTCTGTGTCCTCCAGCCTAGAGCAGACCGTGAACAGGTGAATGGTGCCCCAGGCTGACCCTGGGAGCACACAGAGGTAGCCACTGCCTGGGCACTGAGGCTTGCTTCCAGAGGTGCAGGGAAACTCCCTCAAGGCTTCCTCCCTCTCGGGCTGAGGTCACAATCTCACGGTTAGTGAGTCTGATCCCTGCATCAGGCTCTGCTGTGACAGCAGGGAGCCTGCTTGGGCTTCTCTCTCTCCCTCTCTTGCTGGCGCTCTCTCTCTCAAAATAAATAAATTAATTAATTAAAAAAAAAAAACCAACTGTATCTCAAAAAAAAAAAAAAAAAAAAAAAAGCAGCTTCCTCCTTCAACCAACAACCTGAGGCTAGAAATTTCACATTCAGAGCTTCCTGGGAAGAAACTTTAAGCCTTGTTAGTTCTATCCCAGCTTGAAGCACAATGTATCAGATCCTTTCAGAGCAGCAAACAGCTGAAGGAAAGGGAACATACCAGGCACCTGGTGGAGGGAGGAGGGGAAACACCCAACACAGGGGGGACAAAAGGGCGCCTCCCCAGATTTTATGTTCTTGTCAAGGGCGGGACCGGTAGGTTCCTGGGATGCATCCCAAGTGAGGCGCTCACCCCTTGGGGCAGGCCAGATGTCCCCAGCAGCAGAGTGCCACCAGAGGTGAGTAGCCTTCCTGAAGGTGTCACCTGGGGTCCCTGGAGCCGCCCACACCCAGGGGAGGGAGCAGCAGCCCCACTTGTCCCGAGATGAACGAGATGAACGCTATCAGGCTAATAAATGTCTTCCAGTATTTGAAAGCCAGTCACCGGACAAAGGAGGAAACTGGTCTAGAGGGCAGGACTAGGATCAGTGAGTGGCGACATTTCGTTTCTTTTCTTTTAAAAAAATTTTTTTTAATGTTTATTATTGAAAGACAGAGCGAGACAGAGCATGAGCATGGGAGAGGCAGATAGAGGAGGAGACACAGAATCTGAAGCAGACTCCAGGCTCTGAGCTGTCAGCACAGAGCCCGACGCGGGGCTCGAACCCACCAACTTCGAGATCATGACCTGAGCCGAAGTTGGACGCCCAACCGACTGAGCCACCCAGGCGCCCCTCTTTTCTTTTTTTACAACTGCAATAAATAAAGACTTTCAAACAATTAGAGCCGTTCAAAAATGGGGTGAGTGGGCTTGGCAGTCAGTGAGGCTCACGGTGGTGGAAATGCTGGAACAGGGGCTGTTGTAAGAGGGTGGGAAGCACAGACGGATATCTGACGGGAGCAAGGCCGAGGCCCCTCCTATGACTGCCTGCGCGTCCTGGGCACCCAGCATCCTTGTGGAGAGGTGCCGGGGAGTCCGACCCTGTCTCTGAAGCAATCAGAGAGGGCAGGAATCGGGCAGGGGTCACACTCCACAGACGGTGCCACGGGGGACAGGAAAGGATCTGGACAAGCCTGAGACCCTGGGTTTTGGAGTCTTCTTGGTTTCCCAACGCAGCCTGGCTTCCCGAAGGCTTCCAGCAAGGGAAGCTGCAAGTGTTACTACCCCAGCCCCCGCCCCTGGCCATCGCAGCACCCCAGCTCCACGCCTACGCCCCATCAGGACTCACCTCCGGAGATCTTCAGGGGGCGCCACCCCCCGACGCAGGTTCACCCACTGCTGCAGCTGGTTCATGGAGCTCTTGCGCTGGGCAATCTTGTCGGGGTTGGCACGTGGGGGGAAGTTCCGCTGGTGCCCCCCACTCTCTGAGTCCGGAGGCGGGAAAGCTGTGCTGCCCGGCCGGCTCGGGGAGCTATACTGCCAGCCATTGGGCTGGGCGGGCCGGTCTCCTCCCCCTGGGACCCTTGGGCCCTCGGGGTAAGGGCTGCCCGGCTCCGAGGATGGTTCTGGTCCGGCTTGGATGCCATTGGCTTTCACCAGAGGCTCGCTCTTGACTTCAGGCCTCTCGGGCTTCCGCTCTGCCTTCTCGCAGCCCCGGCCGTCACCCTCCCCTCGAGTCTTGGCCTCTGGCTCGGGCTTGGGGAGGCTGTTGTGGGACGGCTGGTGGTGCTGTTTGCTAGGAGGGATGTTCTCTGAGTCTGGCTTCTCATGGCTGCAGGATGCCAAGGGAGATGTTGTAAGTGACTCCAGCCCAGCAGCGAGCTGGGCAGGGGGTGGTAGACTGGGAAGGGAAAAGGAGTGGAGAAGGGTGGGCAGGAAGGTAGCGATGGAAACGGGATTCAATGAATGACAGTTCTGTTTCCCAAGTAACTTCCCAGCCCGGGCAGTTACTCGAAAACACAGTGCACTCTTGCCCACGCGTGGTGTGCTCACTTCCCCCTCTAGGTCCTCTCCACGGCCCACTCTCTGCTCCCTTCTGCTGACCTGCACTGCATCCAGCCTACCGAAGCTATGGCCAAGACTAACCCGCCCCAGACTTGGTCTCCTCTGCAGTCTGTCCCCGCTCCAGCCCCCCAAACTCGGTGCACGCTACACCAAAGCTTCATGATAGTGACTGTCCTTGATGTTTCGGCCATGGAGGCTCGTTACAGCTCAGCCTGCTGTCCTATGCAAGTTCCTTAACTTCTGCAAGTCTTGGGCTCCTCGTTGGCAGGACGGGTGTAACAGTCGCTCCCCTCGTAGGACTGTGAGATCAAACACGGCGGGCGCCAGGCGCCTAAGCTGTTGCCTCAAACATCCTAGGCTTAGAAGCATGCTAGTTTCTTCTCCAGGACAAGCTTCTTCCGGGACAGACTCCGCCTGAACGTAAGCGCCACGAGGCAGAAGCATGTAGACTGGTCTTCCCTTGTTTTCCTAGCGCCCCCTACAGTGCCTCACACATACCTATTTCCAGTAAATATTTATGAACTAAATGAGCGAACTTCTGGAAGTACGCCCCTCAGCTGAAGTGAAGATGGGACCTCGTGACGATGTTTTCCCTACCGCTTCTCAAATTCAACAGATTCAAGCATCCTTGTTGCAGCGTTGCCTGGTAAACACTTCTAAGACACTAAAATAGACTTGGAGTCTGTATCATAAAAACCTCCTTCTTCTGGATCCCTGTTAACATCTAACTCAAGACTCCCATCTACCCGGTTCCAGCAGAGACAGGCCGTGAGGCTGTGGGTGGCGACAGGTGGCAGGGGTGATGGAGGGGCCATGGGCTGAGTGTTCACTGCATGTCAGGATTTCCCGGCTGCCCCTATGAGGTAGGATTATAACTGCTGCCTTCACGGGGAGGAAATTCAGGCTCAGAGAGGTTAAGTGATCACCCTGATGTCACAGTGTGAGCAAGTAGCTAAGTTGGGATTCGCACCTGAGTCTACCCTCCTCCAGAGGTCATGGGTTTAATGTGCAAAGCCAAGAATAAATGAGCAAATGACCCCGGTCTTTGGCTCCTGGCCAGGCCACGACGGAACCTGGCTTCTCTCTTGGCCTCCACCAGCCCAGAGAGAAGAGGGAGAACCGGTCAGGGGGAAGGGAAGAGAGACTCCAGGCTCTGGAATCACTTAGCCCTGCTAGGAGGCATGGAGCGGCTCACGTGTTCTCAGAGGTTCAAGCCAGCACGCCGGGCTCAGCAGGACACAGAGTAGGGCGCTTCCTTGATCCTCTTTCTCTAGCACTCCCCACCCCCATGCCCTGTGCCCTGGGACTCACCTGTGACGCACAGCTTGGGGCACCGACTTCTGGGCTGGGGGGATCTGTACTCGGGCAGCCTCCCCCATGGCCTGGATCCAGGCCTCCTGTTCCTCGGGGCTCTCGGCACTGAAGAAGTAGGTGCGGACCCCAGCGTGCTCAGCCTGTGGGGAGAGGCAGTGCGTGGAACTGGCCCCGGCCTCATCCACCCAGCACGTGGTCACCTGTCGGGAGAAGACACCCACACCCACAGCACAGGCGGTCAGGCGGGCCATCCCCCTGACCTGCAGCTCTTTTCCCCACAAGGAGCTCAGGCGCAAACCGAGCTAGGCGTTCGCCTTGGCTAGCTCTCTGGACCCCAATAAGCCGCCCAATGGCCAGGTAAGCTTACCTGCCCCACCTGAAGTGATTACGAACAGGAAGCACAATTACCATGCCCGCTCTCCCATCAAATTCCATCTTTGATTTGAAGGGCAGTTACCCGATGTCTGAGAGAGATGCCCCCCCCCCCCGGGACTGCCCCCGAGCACATGCCAGCCTCGGCCCCAGCCTGGCCTCTGAGGACCGAGTGCCGTCTCTTCTGTGCAGAGACAGCCAGGCCTCCACCTCCCTGGGCATGCAAGGGGCACGCACGGACTGTTAGAGCACGCTACCTAGTTGGTGGCCGCGAGCAGGTGCGGCAGGCGGGAACCCAGAAGAGAGCTCCTGTCCAGAGGAGGGGTCCTCACGCAGTCAGAAGGAGGAGAAGCAGAGAAAAGGTCAACCAGACACCAGAGGGAGAGCCAGAAGATGACGTGGCAGGAAGGTTGAGGAGCAGAGGGAAGTGGGGAGCTATTCAGTTTACCCCCCTTCTACTGGCTGTCAACCACTGGGACGACAGCACCCAGCAATTCCCGGTTCAGCCCGCCGAGAGCGGGGAGGGCAGAGCTTGCGCCAAGGCAATCGGGGCTGTTGGCGGGGAGGATTCAGGGCGTCGGTGCTGTCCCTGACTCCGGCTCTGCAGCTGCAAACAACTTGGGTTTTTGTTCTGGCCTGACGCGCTGCACCTGTTTAATGGGGAGGGCTCTACCTGGTGAGACTCCAGGTTCCAAGGCCACAAGGAAGAGATGCTCCAGAGCCGAATTCTTTCTGGAACCTCAGCATGCTTCCCTGGTGAGACTTTCAGTCTCCCGGAAAAAGCAGGTAGCCCGGTTTACCCCACTCGACATGAGAAATCCGGGTGGTTACTAGTCTCAGATGTGAACCTCACTTTGGTCTCTGACCCCATGGGTGTGAAATCATGGGTCTCTGGGGGTTGGAAGGAGAGAAGACAGGGCTCTCCTGACCAAGCCCCAGGGCTCTCCGAAGCAGCTGTGTCAAACTGTGTCAAACCCACACCTCCCACATGCTTTCCTGGCTGGACATTCGCCCTGCTGTGCCACCCCTCCCCAGCACATGATTCCCTTCTGACGGGAGTCATCACGCAATGACATGTCCTACTTCTCGAGGAGTAGAGATGGGCCTCTTTCCTCTGGATCCTGCCAGTTCCCACCCTCCAGCAGGGGGCTGGCTTGTGGGCAGCGGGGCGTGTTTCTAGGCAGTGAAACTGTAAGGAGGCACCTTGGGCTTGAAACTGCACAAGGGTACGGAGAGCAGGGGCCCAGGCTGGCCTCCTGGAGTGGAGGACACAGGGTTATTGTACAGGAGAGAGAGACACAGGCAGGTCTTGTGGGTGTGACCTGGGGCTGGTAGGAGCGGACAGCAAGTGAATTAATTTGCTCGTGAGCGCCCCGTGTGTGCAGAGCTCTGCTCCGGCACCAGTCACAGGAAAACAGACCTGCTCTTTGCACTTGAAGAGCTCACGGTCAAGCTAGAGGACAAAACATGCCCACAGGGAAACAAGGAGAAAGCAAAGGCACGGGAACCGCTTGCAACAGGAAAAGGCAGATCCTGGGAGAAGACAGGGCAGTTGATGGCGAGCCGGAGGGGGACACCAGCCTGGCATTGTGAAACTGGGCCATGATATTGAGGGAGGTCCCCCAGTGGGGTGAAGTCCTTTGAGCCCCCACAGGGCTGGGTTAGGAAGAGGTTAAGGCATTCAGCAGCAGGCTGGGCAGAAACAGTGCCCGGCTCATTATTAGCCATCCAAGAGTTTCACTTGGTGGCCGTAACAGGACAAGCCTCCCATCTGTCTCCGTTCCCTTCCCCTCCCTTCCCTGGGGAAGGGCCACTCGATAGCCACAATCGGAACCCTTTGTGGGCCACTGAGCACAGCCCTCAGAGTTGGGTTTTAAAGAGGCAGTGTGCTTCTCGGGGGAAAGGGAAGGAGGAGAGGGGCTGATGGGCACAGCGAGCTGGGGCTATGGAGGGGTGTGTGCGTGTGTGTGTGTGTGTGTGTGTGTGTGTGTGTGTGTGTGTGTGTCAGTCACTTGGGGCGCTGATGGAATGCCTGTGGCTGGCAGAGCTCCGAGCTGGAGTGTGGATGTGTCTGTGCACAGGTCTGGAGGAGAGGGTAAGACAGGCTGTTTGACTGTGTGGGTGTGTGCACGAATGTGTATAGTAGGACTTTCTGTTGTTGGTTAAACAACCTGTTTCTATTTCCCCCAGCTAGAACCTGGCTCCCTGGAGCCAGAGTTTTATTAATTGCTCATTCTGTTCACACCTCTGGCAGACAGGACCCTAGGAGGCTAGGAACTAATTATGTGCCAAAGAAGCCCCTCCTGGTTCTGTCCTCTGGAGCGACACCTGGGCGTGCGGCCCACCTCTCTTCCACAGTCAGGTGAGCAGAGTCTGAAGGACAGGAGGGGGCAGGCTCTGAGGTCCTACAGGCTCAGATACTGACCTGGTGTTAGCGGCAGTTTCTATCACCTAACACCACGGCTTTAGGTTTTCAGGGTCGTGGATGGCAATTCTCAACTAGGGGACAGATGGCTTTGTGCTAGGGCAAGGCATGGTTGGTACCCTGATTTTATTTTTTTTTATTTAAAAAAAATTTTTTTTTCAACGTTTATTTATTTTTGGGACAGAGAGAGACAGAGCATGAACGGGGGAGGGGCAGAGAGAGAGGGAGACACAGAATCGGAAACAGGCTCCAGGCTCTGAGCCATCAGCCCAGAGCCTGACGCGGGGCTCGAACTCCGGGACTGCGAGATCGTGACCTGGCTGAAGTCGGACGCTTAACCGACTGCGCCACCCAGGCGCCCCAAGTACCCTGATTTTATATTTGGAAGTGAAAGGAGCCTATGATCTTTGCGTCATCAAGTACAAAAAGGGCACGGGGTTTTTATTGTTTTCAGTGGGTCATGAATTTTTAAATGTGGAAAAACACTGGCCTGTGATGAGCCAGCTGCAAGTGCGTCTTTGATGGGTGGATTCCCCAGGGGTTCTCAGGGAGTGACACTGAGCAGGCCCATGCGAGGCCCGTCTTCCCGCGCTCTCGTTCTCCCAAACTGCTCTCTACTGGGAGGTTCGCGTTTCTTGATTTGCCATCAAACCCAACTCCTGATTTTCTCTAGAGGCTGAAATTTGAGTCGGTGTGACTGGGGGTCCAGTCCTCCGGGCTTGGTGTAGGGAGGATTCCTTTCCAGAAAGGATATCAGAACCCCACCAGCCACGGCCCCGCCTCTGCTGCGAGGAAATTTCCACAGCGACCGATGCTAGGCCGCTGGGCAGAGGGTTCATTCCCCCCCCTCCCCCCTCCAGGAACAACTGTGGGACCACCATCCCCATCTCCACGGGCCCCACCTGACTCCCGGGGTAAGAGGAGGCGGCCTCTCGGGCCTCTCCTCAGCCTTACAACAGACTGTAGCAGGTCCAGGGGTCACTGCCTACTCTTTACTTCCGCCACCACTGGGGGGGCTCCTCGGGGAGGTGGCTCGTGATCCTTCTCCAGTCCCGCGTGCTCTACAAGAGCAGGCCCCCCTCCCCCACCTGGCCTGGGAGAGAAATGCCAACTGACCTTAAAGGTGTGTTTTCGGCTGATGTTGTCCGAAGGCTGCACTGCCGCCACCCGGAAGCTCAGGAGCGGGATGCTACCCAGGATGCTCTCCTCCTTCTCATCTGTCGGGTGAACAGAGGCCCGGGTGAGACGCACGTGCCCGTGGCCCGCGCAGAGGGGGAGAGAGAGGAGGGTATCCGCCCTCTTACGACAGATACCGATAAATACTCGTGGCTCGTCTACGGCCTGTCAGGACTCGGGGCCGCCACCCACCAAGCACCCAGGGTGTGCTCTGTACAACAATGCGAGGCACGCTCCCGGGAGGTAGGGAACCTGGCGGCCTTGCAGACACGGTTCTAGATACCGGGACTAGAGAGGCGAACGAGAGAGAAGTGGTACGCACCCTCCAGGAGCTTACCTTAGGGTAAACAGATAAGTGACGACTGACATTACGGAGGGTTTGCTATACGCCGGGTACTGTTCTAAGTTAATGGCCTTAAAGGATTTCACCGTACCAACAATCCCACGAAAAGGTCCTGCTGTTACCCCATTTTCTGGGGAAGGAGGCTGAGATGCAGCGGAGAGGTTAAGTAATTGGTCCCAGGTTACTTAAGTAGAGAGTGGTGGATTGGTCTTTGGACCCAAGAAGTCTGACTCCCAAGCAGGCATTCTTTTTTTTTTTTTTTTTTTTTAATGTTTACTTACTTTTGAGAGAGAAACAGAGCATGAGCGAGGGAAGGGCAGAGAGAGAGGGAGACACAGAATCTGAAACGGGCTCCAGGCTCCGAGCGGTCAGCACAGAGCCCGACACGGGGCTCGAACTCACGAACCGTGAGATCATGACCTGAGCCGGAGTCGGACGCTTAACCAATTGAGCCACCCAGGTGCCCCCCGAGCAGGCATTCTTAACCACTCTCCTGTCTATAGAGACTCTGCAAGCAAGACAATTCCAATAGGGAAACACATAACAGGATGATAATGGGATCGGGCAGGGCAGAGAGGATAGTCCCCTCTTCGGCTCTGGCTCCTCTGGGTAACTGTTTCCAAGGTTTTCCCAGGCACCCAGCAGCTTGCTCTGTCCTCTCCTGACAGGGGTCTGCCTTCCCCTCTATGGCCCCCATGTCTCCACAGGAAGACATGCCCCTGCGTAACCTCTTGGCCCTCTGTTCCCCAGATCAGGCTAACAGCCAGGCTGTTACATAATTCACCCCGAATCTCCAAAGGAGCCTGATGGATTAGCTAGTCAGGCCCCCCCCCCCAGGTGTCAGCAGGAGCCACGGAAGGTGGGGGTGCTCTGTGGAATAGGTGGGGGGGGCAACTATGAGGCCCTGGCAAGCCTCTCCCCACTTCCCTGGGATAGCTCTTGAGTCCTGGGGCTAGAGACCCTGCAAAACCCTCAGGGTTCAGAAGGGGTCTCTGGGATTATACGCTCATGGGTTTCCCTTTTCTTCTTCCTCATCACTTAGATAAGATACTTGGCTTAAGGCCCAGCTTCCTATGCAAACTCAGCATGGTACCCAGAGGAAGGGCTGAGCCAAAGGATCAGGAGGAACCCAGGGCCGGGGACCCAGGGCTTCTTCAGGGAAACAGAGGCTGCCATCTTCTGGGGGTGATGGCCTTCTGCCTGGTAGTCTCCAGGCCAGTGTTTACGGGGTCTCTTGAGCGCATCTCTCAGTGGATGGTGGCCCCCATCACAGTGCCTCTTGAGTTCACAGCTCTTACGTTTCTACCCTCACGCCAGTCCCAGAGTCTCTTGTCTGCAGAGGGCCTGGCTTTCCTTCATATTCGTTCATACTCTGGCTCCAGTCAGCCCTGGGTCCCAGAGGCTCAGCACCAGGGACCAAGCCTTGGCGGATTCTTCTCCCCCCGTCTTGGGGTTTTCTCTGTGACTGGATCCTGTATATGCAGCCCCTTCCTGATTTCTCTCCTCGGGTTCAGGTGGCAGCAACGCAGGGCACAGGGACAGCAGCATTCTGGAGGGTCACTGGGTACAACCTTTGTTTGTGCAAGTTAATGATTCACTGAATTGCCCCCAGGAGGCCCAGAGGAGGCAGGGCTCTGCCATTCCCGGGACATGGAGGAAAAGAAACAGTCTCTCCTGCTGCAAAATCACTTTGCCCTTCTCTTCTTGTGGCCCCGCGTCAGCGTGACGGGGCCGTCGCTGTCATCAGCCCTCACTAGCTCCCAAGGTGCCTTCCTTGACACAACGTTGCTGTACATATTTTAAAAATAACTTCCTGGAGGCTGCCTCACCAAAGTTATTAGGTCTCTCTCTCTCTCTTTCCGTTTTTGAGAGGCTAGAGAGTGAGTGTAGGGGTGCACGGAGAGGACAGAAGCTGGGGGATGTTCGTTTACTCAACGCTGGGCGCCTACAATGTGCCATGCACCGTTTTAGGCGCTGTGGCGACAGCGGTGAACAACACTGCGATTTCTGCCCCCACAGACTGGATCGGACACTCCAGGGCGACGGGAGGAAGCTCCACACACAAGCCCCGATCGGTAGGTCACCTTACCTAGTAGTGAGTAGGGACCTTCCTCTTCTCCTTCCCGTTCCTACCCCATCCCCCACCCCAGGACTTCACCGCGTGTCACATGACTTTCCTGTTCACCCACTGTGTCCTCCATCCGGACCTAGAACTCTGCCTGAAACCTCGAGGGTGCCCGGGAAATATTGTGGAACGTGACGTGATTGAGCGCGTGAGCAAGCGGGCTCTGTCTTCACCCCACCGTCAGGACCCACAGGTGCCGGCAGCTATGGGGCATATTTGCATATCCCCCCTCCCACCGCCACCGCCCGGCCACCGTTGGTCCACTGACCAACGTCCACCCGAAGCAGAGCCTGATGATTTGGCAGAACAAGCAAGAGTGGGCCCTGCCTTCCTGTGGCCCCTGCCAGCCCCAGTGGAAGCGAAGCTCACCTTTATAGTAGAAGAGACAGCGATCCACCAGGACGAACCAGCGCTTGTTCCACTGCTTGACCCCGGAGCTGGCCTGTGGGACACGTGGAGACAGACGGGAGGGACCGTGAGCTGGGCACGGGAGGGGGGATGCAGGGGAAGGTGTGCGGCACGAATTATATAAGGACATCCTGCCTCTGGTTACGGTTTTGCCAGTAACCAGTGGCAGCCAACCCCCTTAAGACCTCGGACGCAGGAAACGGACCCTGGACTATTGCCCGTGACCTTCCAGTTCTGTCTTTCTGCGCCTCAGCATCTCTCCCAGGGAAGATAAAAGGGGTGAGAAATGAGCCAGGATAAGTGGGCAGAGGGCAGTCAGGCAGAGTGGCAAGGTCAAACTGGGAAGAATTAGCGGACCCCTAGACTAAGGACAGTCCCCTTAGTGCAGCAAGAGGGACCTGCTGAGAATGAGCCAGACAGTGCTCTCATGGGGTTGGTGACCCAGCGTACTTCAAAGTCACTGCATCTGCCCATCGGGAGATCTGGCTGGATTCCCATATTTGACATTAATTTTTCTGTGTGATTTTGGGAAGATACTCAACTTCTCTGAGTCTTTATAAAATTAGGAGATTCACAGAGATATACCAAGAATAGGATACGGAAGCACATACCAAAACACGCAGGGACTCAGAAATACAGAGGAATCGGAGAGGCGGTCATGGTGGGGGGACCGGCAGAGGAGGCCTCACCTGCTTGAAGAGCCAGCCCGCCTTGGTGACAGGTGCATTGAGATTCCGCTTCATGGAGTGTGAGCGCTTCCCAAAAGCGATGGCTTTGCGGGATGTTCGGGTTGCCTGGGGAGACCGAGAGAGAAGCAGGCCTGACTTTCTTCCTGTCCTCCTCTCTGCTCTATCTGCAACGGAAGCTACCCTCGGTGGGAGTTGTATCTCTCTCCACGCTTGGGGGACTCGTCACGCCAAGAGGACCAGGTGGGACTCTTGGATCTGTCCTCACTCAAGGGCACAGCTGTCCAATTCTTCGGTGCTTTTCTCTTATCTCTAAAATGGGGCTCAAAATCAGTCCGACCCGTCTCACAATGGTGTGGGTTTTGTTGTGGTGGTTGTTGTGAAGAGAAAGTAAGATTTTTCATTTCGCCCCCGGGCTTTCTTCTACTGTCCTGACTCCCCAACTCTTTTGTAAAGCTTTCTGGCACCCATCCAAATACAAGTACATTCCTGATGTCATCATCCTGTCAGAGTCCTGCTCCCTCTCGAATGGCCGACGTAGCACAGAGCAGGGAGGATACACAAGTGTTCTCCTAGCTCCTTGTTGCCACATGGACACTGTCACCCTTCCGCATGCTGGCAATAATCACTCTGGAAGCACCCCTGATCTTCCATTGTTTAGCCCTTTTCATCACTGTCAGCTTCTAGATCAATTCCTTCAGAATCTTAAGATTCTGGTACCAGTCATCCCCTTCATTCAAAGTCTTGCCATCACCGTGACCTTGTCCCTGATGATGACCCACCGACTGCACCGTGAGGTCCTCAGTCCCAAAACCATTTGCTTCTACCCCAGCACTCACTCCCATGGCCGCACCTTTGACCTGGTCGCACCCAGGCCCCTTCACCACTGACATCTTCAATTCTGAGATTTCGACTTCCTGACGCCCTCCTGTCCTTTGGGCTTGCTCACCCCATTACTCGACACCATCAGCTTTTCTACTCCATTGGCATCTCCAGCTCCTCAGTCCTCCCCTTTTCTTCTGGATCTGTCAGTTGCCTCTTGGTTGTATCTATTTCCCTAAGAAGCCCAGGGGTGCCTGAGTGGCTCAGTTGGTTAGGCATCTGACTTCTGCTCAGGTCATGATCTCGCGGTTTGTGGGTTCGAGCCCCGCATCGGGCTCTGTGCTGACAGCTCGGAGCCTGGAGCCTGCTTCGGATTCTGTGTCTCCCTCCCTCTCTCGGCTCCTCCCTCGCTTGCTCTCTGTCTCTCTCTCAAAGATAAACAAACATTAAAAAAATTTAAAAAATTACTTAAGAAGGCCAGGCCCCACATGGGAATAGGTCAACTACCCTCCCAAACACCCCATCCGTTGTCATTGCTTGGCCTTCTCTAAAACTCAAAATCCCCGAGCAAGCAAATTATCCTCTCCCTGCACTCACTGCCAGAGTACGGCTCTGGCAGAGGAGAAGCACACTGCAGTACAGATGAGGCCGCCACAGACCACCGTCCCCAAGCACAGCTCGGCTCATGAGCCATCATTCCGCTCCCTGCCCCGCGAGCTCCCCCTCTGCCCTCCCCGCGGTGGACCCGGCTCCCCTCCTGCCAACACACAGATAATCCGGCGATCAGACATGCACTTCCTCAATTTCACACCCTTTTACCTAGAAAATTACTGTCCTCACCACTCATCCCCTCGTCCTCTTCCATGTCAAAAGAGGTGTCGTCTTCCTTTTCAAGGCTAACACATTCGACCCACCATCTCCTGGGACTTTGCTCCATTCATAATCTCCTCTCAAATCGTCTTCAACTTTTCCTTCTCTACTGGCTGCTTCTCCTGGGCACATGGGCTCAGTCCTCTCCATCTTAAGGCATCAGTCTGTCTCTGTCTGTCTTTCTTCCCTCCACCTCTCTCTGTCACACACACCAGAATCCCCCCTCAACTCTACATCCACTGCCTGTTGTCAGGTAACACTTTCCCTCCTCTCCCTGCAGGAATATTCTCCTGGGAAGAGTCCTGACATCCTCTCCTCGCGTTTACTCCTAACCCCCCTGCACTTCTCTCCTGAAGTGGCAGCTGCAACATCATTGAATTAAGGCTGCTCAGTCTTAGGCCATCATCCTAAGACCCTGGAGAGCATTTACTTTCTCTGCTTCCTGCGACTCTTGGTTTCTGTGACAGTATTCTTTCTTCTGAGCTCCTCCACCTGTGGCCGCTCCTCAATCTCCACCTTTACTCAACTGGTGGACCTTGACCAAACTTCTAAAATTCCCTTTTCTCTTGTTCCACGCTGTCTATGTATCTCATCTATACCCATTGCCTTGACTACCAGCAATGGACTGAAAATTCCCTAATCTGTACCTAAGACTTCTCTCCTAGCCCTGGTCCATTTTGTAACAGGTTGTCCAGCCAGGATGAAGTAAATGCAAACCCAAGCCCATTGTCTTCCTAACCAAGCCTGTTCTGTATTTCTCACTTGGTGAATGGTACTACAATCCACCCACTTGCCCAAACTAGAACTCTGAACCGCCTCACACCATTCCCTCCTCCCTCCTCTCCTTATCCCACATTTACGGGTGGGTGAGTCTATGTTCCTAACGGTTCTCGGATCTGTTCTTTCCTGTTGGGTCGTCATCTCTTCTTGCTATGCACCTTCTGGAACAAGTCAGGTTACTTCTCTAAAACAGGGTAATCATGACGCTCTCTTAACGTTTCTTACTACCTCTCACCACTTGGAAGACTATTCAATTTCTTAGCATGGCTCACAAGGCAGGTCTGTAAGAGTCGCCGGGCCCATGACCCGCCTTCTGCCCCTCTTCCCAACAGGTCCCTTGCGGTCAGGCCAAACTCCTGGTGGTTCTCTCCCATCCTCCCTGCTTTTGCTCATGACTCATGGAAGACAGGGGGATCAGGATCTCCCTCGTTCCCTAACAAATCCCAACTCATCCTTTAAGCCCAGTGTAGACCCCCCCTACTCCACAAAACCTCCTGGATCCCCCGGGGCAGTTAGCTGCCCCTCCTGTCTGTCCATTCCTGCAGTCTAAAGCATGTCACACTGCAATGGAACTGTTGGCTTTCCAGCTCCTTCTCCAAACTCTGAGCTCTTTGTAGGGAGGAAGTTGAATCTTATTCATCTCTTCGTCACCAGAGCCCGGCAAGGTATCTGGCTACAATAAACATTTAGCAAATGCTTGCAGAAGAAAGGAAAGAAGAAATTGGGATTTATTATAAAGCACACCCCAATCTGGGGAATAAAATTGTTTTCTAACCTTTACTAGTAAAAATCCACACATAAAGGCTGAGATTAGGCACCTGAATCACCACCTACTCCCCTAAGAATAAGCAAATCCGCAAATCCTTCCCTTCCTTCTCAGGCTCTCACCTGCCATAGCTTCACCTCCTCTCTGTGGCCTAGAAGCCACTCCCATAGTTCACCACTTCAGCCATTCTCCTGCCAAACCCTCCATACTCTCTCGCCTCCTTATCTTTCTGCCACGGCTTCCCAGCACCACTCAACCTTAGGCCAATCCAACCGTCTGCCTTCCCTGCTTTCACAGCCAGTCTGGGAGTGGTGCTGGAGTAAAACCACACACAACTGTGGACTGGAGTCAGCCAGAGTCAAGTCTGTGACCTCAGTTGACCGTTCGACATTATCACGCAATATTTCATATTCCCCTCGTTGTCCTCTGTTCCTGTTCTCCAAACCTTGGGCATATTCTCAAGCCTCATTGCCTCTCCACCCACCCCACTCTCTGCAGAAAACCCTACCTCCTACCTCCCTGTAGAAGCTGAGGACGTCAGATGGGAACGTCTTTAACTTTCCACACCCCCACCTCCTAGCTTCACATGACTTTCCCGTGTAGCTCAGGAGTACCCCTTCCCTATGCAGGCTAACAGCACCTCTGCATCGGACTTCTCCTGCCTCCACAGAAATGAGACTCACGGCTGTCCCCTTCCTCCTGAACCCATCTACTGGGCCACGCCCCTCCTGCTCGCACATCTCAAAACAAAACAAGATGGACCAAGCAGACCTCCTGCCATCCGGCATATCTTCTGGCTTCTGTCCCCTACCCCTCAGTCCCCCTAACAGTGAAGTTTCTTTACAGATACGTACATTTTAATATTTCAAACGCTTCAGAAAAGTAGAGAATAAATCCCCACTTTGTTGGTTTCTAACAAAACGTGACAAATACAGCTGAAACTCCCTTTGAGCCCCTCCTCAATCTCATTACCTTTCTTCCTTCCTAGAGGCAACTGCTGACCCCAAACTAGTCAGCTTGGCAGTGGTTACACGCTTGCACTACAAATATACCTATACATATGCCATGTCACTTTCATGTCCGTTTTACGTAAGCGATAGCACGTTTTTCATACTCGGCAACTTGCTTCTTACCCAACATTACATTTTCGAGATTTAGCCTCGTTAATACACATAGCTCTCGTGCAATTTAATTTTTGGAGAGCACTCTATTATATGACTGTACTACCCCTTACTGTCCAGTTTCTTAGAAGACTAGTTTCTACTCTTCATCGTCTGTCTGCCCTCCCAACTCCTCTTTAGCTCTCTCCTGCTCGCCTTCTGCTCCCATCCCACCACCTGTCAGGTTCTCCAGTGGTACGCCCCATGGACGCTTTCAGCCCTTATCTTACTGGACCTCTGTGCCACATTCTTGTCTGGATTACTTCTTCCTCCTGAGGCTCTCCTTCCTTCCTGAGCTCTCAATTGGCATCTCCTCCAAGCATGATTCCTCTTTTGCCGTCCCCCTAGATCAGTGGTTCTCAATAGGTGGAGGAGGGGGCAATTTTGTGCCCCAGGGAACATTTAACAATGTCTGGAGACGCTGGTTGTCATAGGGCAGGTATTACCGACATCTAATGGGTATAGGCTGGGGATGCTGCTTAACATCCTACAGTGACAAGACAGTCCCAAACCACAAAGAACTATCTGGCTCCAAATGCTAACAGTGCCAAGGTTGAGAACCCCCAGTCTAGAGATTGATCTTCTAGAAGGTTCCGGTCTGACCCCTCTTCCCTTCCTGTGCTCCACCCCTCTTGCATCACCTCACTTGCTCTTTGGAGACCGTTGAAACAGCTGGACAGGCTAGCATATTTCCTAGGATTCCTACCTGACAGCTTGCCTTGGGGGCTAGACTTACCCGGACGCTGGGCCGCTCTGGGGGGACCTCGGACACCATGTTGTGGTTCGATGTGTCGCTGTTGGTGATAGCCGGGCGTTTTCCACCTGCTTTATTGGACATGTCCAAGGCCGATCTGATTTCAGGTTGATGAAAACAGAAGAAAGGGACTGGTCAGCACCCAGAAAGAATGGAAGGGCCCTAGCTGTATTCCCTACCCTGCCACCCACTGTTCCAGCATCAGCACAAAATCACATCCCCTAAGTGCTGTCAAGAGGTCACCTCAGCTGCTCCTTCCGCTCTTCTGAGACCACATGCCAGTAATCTTGGTTGGGCATTTTCCTCTTTCTTTCCTGTAAACTTATTTTAAAAACCTAGACCTTAGGACTCTGGAACTCCTTTTTCTTCTAACTGAAGAGACACAATGCCTCAGTGGATATGAGAGTCATTTAATGATCTTTCTTTTCCTTCCATTCACTGAGCCGAGATCCACAGAGGAAGCCAAGAGGAATTCACATTTGGCTCTCAGGGGTATATCACCTTCCCTCAGCACCTCCCTCAAAGGCCCCTGGGTGATACGCCCACCTCAAAACTATCTCACTCCTCGAGCCTGAGATCTGGGAGACGCTGGGAAAAGTGGGTGAGGTCAACAAGCTGGATGGCCCTTAGAAGCTTCCATTCCTCAGGACTGAGGTGAGAGACCCTAACTCCCTCTGCTCTCCACGCCCCCTCTTTCCCCTTCCCAGCTGCAAAGTGGCAGTGGGGGCGGGGGTGGGGAAGGCTGGAAAGGTCAAGCAGCCAATGGGGGCAGACATACGTTTTCAAGTTAAATTTTTTGTTTTCTTCTGGGACCTGGCCAGTCACTGGGTGCAGAAATGTGTTCCGTCTTTCATTGTGGCTGTGGAGGCAAAAAAAGAGAGAGGTTGTGATAAAGACGGAGAAGGCAGAGACACAAGCTAAAGGAAGGGTGGGCCCCAGGCAGTGACAGGGCCCAGTGGCCCCATGGGAGATGGTCCCTCTGTCCTCTGTGGGGTCCAGGAGAGGCAGGCTGGGGGGCTGGGCTGCAGGAAAAGCAGCTGCAGTCAGGTGGGGGGTAGGGAGACACCTTTCACTAGTCAGTGCTAACTACTTACACAGATCTCTGAGGCTGGAAATACGTCCCACTTAACCCCTTCAGTGGTGACCCTGGGCTTGTAACTGAGTGTGTGTGTGGGGGGGGGGGGCGGGACTCTCCAACAGCCAAGGTTTCGTGTGTGGCAGGTTCTCTCCCAGGAACAGCTCCTGCCCGTGCCCCACATAAAAACTGCTCACTCATTATTTGCTGAAAGAATTCCCTTGTGACCTTGGACTCCTTTCTCTCCTGTTTTATGTTGCATCTCTTGCTTTACGTGAAACCAGAGATCCAGAAACTCCATTCCTGAGCTTGGGCTGGGACCCACTCACGCTTCCAGTTCAGGGTCCCTGCATCTAAGGGGCCACTTGATGTACTGAGGCCCCAGGGACTGACCGTCAGGCATCGAGGTGAGTGCCGGCTCCACAGTCACATCTAATTAAGGGATGCTGGGGCCTGGGGTGGGCTGGGGTGCTGGGAGGACAGGCTGCTAGGAAACGGGGTCTGTGCAGAAGCAGATGGGGAGCAGGGCCGTGGAGGCTCCTTGGGGAAGTCCTGCTGTGGCTCTCTGGCTGGCTGAATGTCAGCCTAGTTTCCTGGTGGCTTCTGGGGGAGACAGACAGTCTGTGAAAAGGGTAGCAGATAGACCTTAGAGGGGGGCTGGTGCTGTGGGTCTAAGCCACCAATGGCAGCCATTGAAGATGGCTTCTGAGAAGAGGGGATCACTTGGCAAGAACATTGTAGGATCCAAGCATCTAGCCAGTGGGGGACTGGGTGAGTTTTAAGGTCTTCACTCATCCCTCGTGACAGATGCTGTGAGAGTCCAGAACAGTCTCAGTCCGCCCCAAGAAGCAGACACCTGGACAGCGCCTGCTGAAGCCATGCTAAGCTTGGGGCTTGGGGTGGGGTGGGGGGGGTCCTGACACCAGGCCACTTGAGCACTCTGACAGCGACCAGCCAGGGCTGCCTGGCATGCGGCACCCCAGCCGGCCCCCGAGGAAAGAGAGCCTAGCTTGGTCCCTTCCCCTCCACGTGAGAAGTAACCTTATGGAGACCTGTCTTCAATAGTCCGGGAATCTCAGCCCCTGGGCTGTCTGCTGGAGTTAGAGATAATAACAAACGGTGGGTTTTTTTTTCAGCTCCCAAACCAGCCATGTTCAGATAGAATCCAAAGCCCTGTGCACAGAAGCCCGGTGAGCAGTGGCCACAGTCTATGTGGAAATCTAGGGTTTTGCAGCTTGGGCTTGCCGGCCAGGACCCTAAATCTGGCCAGTGTCCACCAGGACTCGGTTCCAACTCCTGCATATTGCTCACCTGCTCTCCACGTCTCAAACTTTATTCCCTCCTCCCTCCAACAGGGATGCTCTCCTCAACTGCAGGGCATCATTGCAAGGAAGGGTAACTGGTTCCAGTCCCCCCTGCCCCCCGCCTCTCCCCCATCGGGAGGCGAGCAGTTTGTGAAAATAAGGTCCTCGAGGTGCCAAGATCTCTGCTTTTCCCCGGTGGCACAGAGCGCCTGCTCCCCACCTCCCACGTCCAGCCCGCTACATGTTCCCTGTGCTAACTGCCGGAACCTTCCCCACACACACTGGTATAGACAGACAGACAGACACACACACACACACACAGAAGCACACACAGTCTACTGTCAGCCGGCACACGTCTCTCAAGGGACAGCGAATTGCTCCCTGCCCCAGACTCTCCTACCCAGCAACCCCTACAAATGACGTCCTCTCTCCATCCCGGCGCTACCAATTTCAAAATAGCTTCCCCTTCACAAGCACTGCAATGCAGCAGCCATTGACCTAACTCCTCTTCCTTCTCCAGGTCAGGTCTGGCAGGGCCCTCGCTCAGAAGCCCCCTACCCAGCGAGCCGCCCATCAGCCCGCTCACGGAACTCGGCTCACCGGCCACTGAAGAAATCCCTACCTGACCCGCCGATCAGCCCGAAACTTCAACATCCTTTTGGCAGCTCTGTCCCCTGTTCGGCAGCCTCAGAGGACCTGCCAGCCACCCTGCTCCTACCATCCCTCTGAGAAGTAAGTCCTCCGGGTCCCGGTGGCCAGCTCGGAGCGCGAGGCAAGCGCGGCTGGCTCCCCCTCCTCCCGGCTCCGGCACCAGGCGAGGGGGAGGGGCTCTCCCCGGGTGGTGGCAGGGGGTGCCCAGGTGCCCTGGGGGGCCCGTGGCTTCCTAGCATCCAGCCCGAATGCTGCCGTCTGAGTGCTGGAGGCAGATTAAATGAGCAGGGATGATATCCTCCCGGTCCAGGTCCCCGAGGAGAAAACGCTGAAACAGAGGCGGGCGGGCGCCGAGCAGGTGTACAAGTTCCAGGTAGTCCGACCTCCCTGAGCTAAGGACACAGAGTGGCCGGGCGGGCGGAGCCGTCTGGGGCCGCGCTCCCATCTGCCCGGCCTGCAGGAAGACGGTCTTTCCTGCCTCCCGACCCCCAGCCCCGAACGCAGGCCCTTGGGCTGAAATCCACGTGCTCCGCAGAGACCCTTCTGATCCCGCGGGCACGAGGGTTAAAAGAAGCTCCAGGCTCGGCTGCTGCCACTGCCTAGAAGCTGAGATTAAGTTTCCCAGACTTCGGCGCAGACAGGGCACAGCGAGGGGGGCTTCTGCGCAGCAAACCCCCCCCCCCCCAAACGTGCTCTCTTAGGACCTAGCCCCTCCTGGCTTGCCCTCTGCTTGGGGTCCAGCTGAGGGGCACGGGGAGCCAGAGCTGGTGGCAAGGACCTGGCTTCTTTGCTCTGGTGAACTGGAAGGAAAGCTTCCTCCCAAAGCTTGTGAGGAAGAGGGCAGCAAACAGGGCTCAGAGGGGGTCACCGTGTGTTTACTTCTGAAAATCTTCCCAGATGCCATATGATAAATCCCAGCTGGCGACTGTCGCATCTGCTCAGGGGCAAAGGAGGTTTGCATCGCCTTGAAGTTCCCTGAACTCTCCGGGGGCTGAAGACGATCAGATCTCCCCTTTCCCTCATGCCCTCGGTGTCTGAGGGTCCTGGGACTGCAAGGGCCTTCTGAAGGTCATCTCTTCCAACCCCCTGCCTCCAGGCAAGCTCACTCTGCAATCAATCTCATTAAGTGCCCTGGCTGTTCACAAAGGGCTCCAGCAAGGGAGGCTCCAGACCCGCTGTCAGCTTATGCTGCCAACTTGTTCTTTCTTGATATCAAATTTCAGTTCCTCTGGCTTTCCATATTATTCCATTTATGCCTTCGGATGACAGAATCCCTTCTGAGCAGCGTGGTCCTTTATCGCAGCACCAGGCAGTCCATTGACATCATAGTCTGTTGTTACGGCAATTCTGTGATGTCACAACAGACCCTGAAAGGGGAGGGCGGGTCTAATTTTTCAGATCGAGGTCACAACTCAGAGAACCGTGCAATCAGTGAATGCAAAAGCGAGCAGACAACATTATTATTTAACTGCGACAAGACAAGCCGGCTGGCTAGAGCTGGGGTCAACAGCTACCGATATTGAGGCAACTAATCCTAAATCCAAACGGTCAATATATTCAACCATTTAGCGGTACTTTTGCAAATGGTGACAAGAGCCTTCGGGTGCCAGATCCCACCTCTCTCTGGCCCAGCCTAATTATTTGAGCCCTGCTATGGTTGCGGGAATCTGGGCCCTCCTCTGGTGCCAGCTTGAGGTCTCTGCCTGTGCACAGTAGGCGCCTAATAAATATTTGTTGAACCAACAAGTGAATGAATGAACGAACAAAAGAAACCCTCCGTGCTCCAACTTAATTTTTAGCCACCTGCATTTGGAGTTTGACATTCTATTACCAAGGGCCTCCCTACCTTTGCTCTCTCTTAAAATTAATTACTTCCACTCCATGAGAGAAGCTCTGTCTCTGCCCCCTCGCCCCTTCACTCAGCTCCCCTGCCTGGCTCCCCCTCGAATATATAGCTTGGCTTTGATCCGTCTTCATTAGGAGGGGAAGAAAATTAAGCTCATCTGTACAGGAGGAGGGAGTGGAGGTGCATTGGAAAAAATATCCCCTTTCTCTTCAAGCTGAGCT